TCTTGAAATTAAGTAGCATTTTCAAAGGTGCAGTGCACAAGTTTGAAGGTAAGTATATATATTTTTTTCTTTTCCATACATGTCTAATACTATTAACCAACAAAAATGTTATATAAGTCTTAGACTCATGCAGGGAACCTCACCCAGATTTGGGACTGAAAATTGATGCTGACATGACTAATTTCCTAGTAACCAGGTTAAAAAACATCTACAGGTTGTGTTTAGGGCTTGACATGAAAATTAAATGAGATCACCGTGTATCAACTGTGTATCGTTGAAAGGCTGTGTTTTCATCCAACTCAAATGCAAATTTTAACCAAAACATTAAAAAGTAAAAAAAAAAAAAAGAAAGAAAAGGCCAATTAACTGTGCTTCCATTTAATTTAAAGCAAATTATTCAAGCAATGCGAAGAATAATGTCGTCATACGTCATCGTCCACAAGACGTCATCACACATGGCTGTAATAAAGGTGTCACTAACCGTTGATACCCAGAAGCACGATCCGTACCATCAGCTCATTTGCGCACGAAAATGACTTATTTTTATCCTTAATTCATTTAAGAATGCTAATAAACTTTAAAAAATATTTTATGACTTTTCTGAGACAATTTTGATGCTTTTTACATTTTCTCTGTTAAACAGCTTGTGTGATGTCATCATCGGACATGTTCAGAGTAGTCCGGAAAAATATGATTAAAATATGTTTATCTGCATTTTGTTTTTTATTCTTTCTGTAGGTTATAAACTATATACCATAATATAACTTACCACTTGAGGTAGCCAGCTGCTAATGAAGGAAAGTTTGGATGAATGATGGATTGTTATTGAACATGTTGCTCTTTCGTTAACATGTCAGTTAGTAATGGCGATTTTGCTTCCAGCCATGTTTATGTGTATAATAGGATAATTCAGGAAGACTTGACAGCAGGAACAGCTGATCAGTAAGGTAAAACTTAGGGTTGGAGCTAAAAAAGCTACATAACAGCAGGTTCTAAAAAAGTGTTTCCATCTACTGTTTTGCACATTAACCTTTTTTCAAAAAAAAAACCAAAAAAAAACACCTCAAGCAAGCGTAACAACTTTTTTGCAAATATGTGGGAGTTTATTCAAATTTTGCAATTTTCTTGATGAAAAAAGGCCAAACTGCAAGACTAAATATTGAGTGGGATGGAGGTAGGCAGCACTTAGGCGCTGTCTAATGGTAGCTCCTCTACCAATTTCCTCCTAATGAAAAAACATCCCTGTCTACCTAACCTAATTCCTTGTTGTTTTGCCTGAAGTACAGTCTGAAGATCAGATAAGAATCATATTTGTAAAGTAATTGAAACAGGATGAGGTCAATATTGTAGACAGAATGGATGCTTATCTCCAGATGAGGGAGTTTCCCCTCAGTATAGTGATTTGGTCTCAGACATTTAATTATCATATCTTTATCAGACTCAGAGCTTTTTAGGTATCCCACAGCCACCGTCTCCAAAATAATATGGCCTTGACAGATCTGTCTGTCAGTCCTAAAAAAAAAAAAAATGGTAAAAGCCCAGAATACCTAAACACACCCTGTCCCACATTATTGAAATCCTTCGACATGGCACTCAACGCCGGGCACACATTCCATATTACTCTGGTCCATCGAGGGGTAAACCTACCTGTTGCCCCGCAACGCCTGCCAAACAAAGGGGTCAGACAAGCGTGTCTTGGTCATTCCTAACGTGACAGTGGCTCACCATAAACCAGGACTGGCGTGGTAATGATACTCCTGCTCAGTGGGCGGGGCCGGCGTTCGGCTCTGTGGACGCTGGTCGGAGCCCAGTCTAGCCCACACTCACAAACGGGGAGGCAACACAGGAAACTGGGGCTTCCAGTAAAAACATGTAATTAGAAACACATTGACTAGGAGCTTTGGCATGGTACACCCATCAAGACGGACACATGCAGGCTTGGATGCACAGAGGGTTTAAGAAAGGAGAGATTGGAATGGACAACAATAGGTCAGTAGGAAAGCCCCCTGAATGAATTATTATGCTAATTAACTAATATTAAACAAGTGATGGCAGAGCACTGACAGAGAACACAGGCTCTAAAAAGCTAAGTTATCCTCCCTTAAACATTTGCATATCCTCCAGAGATTAAGAAGGATGAGGAAGATACTCTGACTTAAGGTGCTATGGTTTCCTCTCTGGATGTTTTATATAGAATGCATACAAAAGCTGCACTGCTGTAGTACCAGGGCAGCCATCATTTGAGGGTTCCATTTTACTGGACATTTCTGGGAGGACATAGACAATCACCCATAACATGTCTTTGGAATTATGATACCTTTTAAATACAGATTGTGTATATGTGTGCTGTACAACAAAATATGAATAGAAATGATAGAAAATTCTTTGGTCTTTTTACTGTGAAATCATGTGAAACATGTAAAAATGGCTACCATTGAAGAATGATTTGCAATTGTGCATTAAATGTATGTAATGTAAAAGATTATGTTTTCTCTCATGATTAAAAAAAAAAAGCTTTTTTTTATAGAATTTGGTCAAAATGGGCTAAGTGTGTACAGCCTGCAATGTTGGACTTTGTGTAAAACCATATAATCCCAAACGCTGGTTGTTAAGTGTCTCCATCACAACTTCCCTTTTTTTGTTCTTTCTTGATGTTTTCTGAGACTTAGACAGATTTTCATGTTCTCCTATTAGATGCACCTGTCTAAAGTTTTGAAATGTCATGTTCCAGGAAAATAAATAAAATGTAAATTTAAAAAAAGCTACACCACTAAGGCTGAGAAATTTCTAGACATGTCGCCTAACGGTAGCAGGAGCCTATATGGCGATCAAACAGTGTATCCTATATGTTCTTAAAGTCGTAGGGAAACGGCTGTTCCAACCGTTGCATTTCCAAATTATCCCGAGTGCTGCCTGACTGTACATGAGTGAATAAAGTGAATATGATTGGTTGACTATCACATTGTTGTGGCGGAAGGTTCACAAGCAAGTTTGATTGTAGCCGGTTTCTGGGAAGTATTTTGCTAACCAGTTAGCAACTTAGTGCTAGTAGGTTCCCAATGGGAAATTACATTGGGACCAAATAGCACTTAGAAACGACACTGTCAAGGAACGCTATGGACAGTGGAAACATGCAAGAGGAGTTTAGTGTCGGAGGTCGTGGATGAGTCTCCTCTGTCATACATTTTTTATTTAGAGGAGGAAAGCGGGGAGGAAGATGTTGTGGAAGAGGACGCCAGGGCGGCAGAAGCTTGGTTTGGTGTAGAAGGCTTACAGCCGTACATGTTTGAGTCCTTGCCTCGCAACGCTGCCAGTTCTGTTAGCTCTACGCCTGCTGAACACACAGACATCCATCCCCGTGAACACTGGGACGTAACTCAATAGGAAAGGAAATTATTATTATTTCAACCGTTGCGTTTATTAGCTAAGACATATGAAGTTGCTATGATTGAAAAAAACTGATTGACAGATGACTGTTGATATATGATTGGCCCAATGTAGGTGCACAAGCTGACGTATAATTAACTGGCCTGGATAAGATGAGGCATTGTATTTAAGTCAATGATTTGATGTAATCAACTGGTTTTCCTTAGATAGAAAACTTTGAATCACTTTGACTGTATGATCTGGTTAAACTGTAAAGTCCCTTGATATGACTTGTATTGTGAATTGGCGCTATATAAATAAACTGAATTGAATTGAAGATAACAAAAAAAAAACAGATTTTAAGACATGATTTTTCTTTAAATAGAAATTTTCTTTCTGCAAGGCAACAATGCTACAACCTGCTCCACCGTGCAGCAGTAAGTTATCTTTAATAGTGTAATGGTTGTATGGTGAAAAGTCGGACTATACCATACCCATTCTTAACTTATTCCTCTGGTAGCTTTGTATTTCCATATATCTGTCATTCAATAAGTAAAACAAGGTTAGTTTTTCTAAATCTACCCAAAAGTGAATCAGCTTGTTTTTCCCACAGACCAAGAAAAATGGTGAGACATCAATAATTGTGACATTCAAATAAAAACCATTTACTGTTGCAAAGTCCTGCATCTATTTATTTGCAAGATGCAGCATAAATGCCACTCAAATCTTCAGAGATAATCAGTATGAGCAGGAGGTTCCACTGCTAAAGAACAGCAGTTGGGCAGAAACATGGTCAGCAAACTGCGGCCCTCATTGCCAAATGGTGAACCCAAATCTAGTGGGGGGGACTGCCTGTGATTGGAGAGACGAGGCTAACTTGGACAAATCCTGAAGTTTCTGTTCCAGGACTATTTCCTCTGATTTAATTGAACATGAGTTGCAAAAATTATTTAGGTGTTGAGCAAACAGTCGCACAAAAATAATCTTATAATCATTAGATGTTTTTAGGAAGTCAAGAGCAACGATGCACAGATTTATTAAGCTTGAACAACAGGCAGTCGGATGAGAAGAACTTTCCCAATTAATTTACTGCTCATGAGATTCTCACAGATTTCAGAGTGGAGATACCAAAAGAGCTGCTGTGGGGGGATGGACGTGAGAAAGAGTCTCCGCATCCACAGAGAGAAACCATCAGAGGCGCTCTTTAGTGTGTGGCTTTACAGATCAGGCGAGTGGTGACTGTGGTCTCAGAAAGAGAGGGAAAAAAGAGCCTTAATTAGCCTCCACTCCCATCAGACTGCCAGCCTAAGAATAGGGGTTAGATTAACGAGAAATGAACGCTTTTAATCAACTCTCAAAGCCATTTTTCCCCCATTTCCCCCTTCAATGTCAACAGTTCACAAACACATAATTAGAATAAGTGGGGGGAAATGGACGTTTGGTAGGTGATGAGGTTTCATACATCTGAAAACACAAAAGTGTGAAATGACAATCCACATTTTCCAGATGTAGAATAAACAGCTGGAAAACTGGGGATTAATCATGAGAGTACAGAACGAGGAAGGAAGTGGAAAAATAATGGCAAAAGAAGACAGACTCTCATGAAATATATAAAACAATGTATTGAACAAAGATTATCATAAAACCATGTAAACAGTTTATAAGGCACAACATCCTGGGAAATTTATAGCGAAATAAAGATTAAAGAGAAAACAAAAATAGTTGTTTGGTTCTTCTTTAGTTCTTTAAGAGAAAAAAAACATTTGTCCACAAATATGTGGCCAAAAAAACATCTTTTGAACCCAGAATCCATTCATCTTAAGCCAGTCATGACGTTCAAACCAAATCTGCTGAGAGCAGACAGAGAACACAGAACACTTCCTCAACTATACATACTTAATAAACTTTTTAGATTTTTTCACAGAAAACAACAAACTTTAAGACATTTTTGTGGGATTTTATGTACTAAATAAAAGCAAAGTAGTCCTTAACTGTTGAGGGGAACAGAAAATATATATAAGTCTGTAAAATCCACTTGTTCAGTCTCAGAAATGTGCTAAATGACATCAGCTCAGTGGACAAACAAAATCTATTGACAGGGCAGGTTTTAGTTGTGTAAATCACAAATCGGATCTTCCACTGGACTCAGTGGGAGATTAAAAAAGGAAGCTAATCCCAGAGGACAAGTAAGGAACACGGAAAAAGAAGGTGCCAAGGTGTAAATCAGATTTAAATTGCACATCTCTGTTTGACCATGTGCGAAGCATGGTGAAGGCAGCATCATGCTATAGGGATCCTGTTCTCAGCAGTAGCTTAGGGTTTCTAAAACATGTAACAAACTGAACCCAAATTCACAACCAACAACTGTGTTTCTCTAACCCTAAATATCCCATCAACCAATCCAGATTGAACATGACAAAATAGATATTTTTAACACCTGGATCCAATTTTAGCTACGCTAACAAGTATGTTTACAATGAAAAAGCTGCGAATTGAAATCATAAAAACGTTTTGTTTTCCAAATTTTATGGTAAAAAAGCAACTGAATAAATTTTGTTAGCCAAAGTAAATCATGCAGCATCTTCCTTATTTTAGAGCTCCATTCAACAATCCAGTTCCATCACTTGTACAATACAGCCCCCAAAACGATGGGGATGGATTTTGTCCATTAGTTTGACTTCTCAAAGAGCAGGTGTTGGGGTAGAAGGATAAAAGGACCCTAAAAAGGAATCTGCTTGCTGGTTTTCTTCAGCACTTGGCAACAGGCCACAAACACACATCGAGGTACAACAGGCTCTGGTTGGAATGGTACACAGAGCAATACTGCTAAGACGTCTGGAGGATTGGATGTGAAATGCAAGACATTCCTGGGAGCAGACTCAGCGGCTCCAGAGGCATATATAGCATATGGGAATGGGTTTGTTCAAATATTAAAAATAATGAAGAAACAGGATGATGGGGGAAAAAAATTAGACAAAGAGTCTTGGTTTCAATTTTAACATGCCTGTCTTGATGTTTCCTCTGTTCTTCATGCATCTATTGGTAATACCAACATTGCAGCTATCTGTCCATCTCTACACGCTGCATGTTCAGACTTTTCTGCTACGTAAAACACGAGGCAGAAGTTTATCTTAAGGATCTGATTTGTGCTCTTGTAATTGGCTTTAGCTCTCTGTCTCCCCGTGGACATTCTCCATGTGGACTTTGAGGTAGTCGTTCCGGGTGAACTTCTTGTGGCAGAGCTGGCACTCCGCCATGGGCCGGTTGGGGTTGTGAGTCAGCTTATGTCTGCTGAGCATCTTCTTCAGGCTAAATGACAGATCGCACACCTAAAAGAACAAGAAAAGCAAAAGCTCAGAAGTCTTATGACAGCAGCATAATTAAAACTCTACATGCAAAATTATTTTTTTAATGTCCCTTTACAGCAACAATTTTCAAAGCATCTATTTTATATGATGTAAAATAATGTTAACAGATGGTTTGCAAACATTTTTACAGATAAAAATCAGTTAGAATGCTTTTGTGTTCATGCAAAGAAATAACCACCTTTTTGTGTAAATACTGCTGAAACTCTCCTTGGGTATGTCTTTACCAGCTTTGCACATGTATTTAAATGTTTGCTAATTTTTTTTTTCTCAAATAGGTTAGACTGAAGGTAAAAAGTCAAAGAAAATCAAATATTCTAAATTGGATTTAGATCTTGTTGTTTTTTTTCCATCCTGCAGAAAGAAAAACCCTCTGACTCAGCCTCTGCTTTTCTGCATCTTTTCTTCCATGATAACTGTTGGTTTATCTCCTTCCAGATTCACATCATCTCTGACCAGCTTTCCTGCCTCTGCTGGTCAAAAGCATCCCAGCATAATGTTGCCACCATATACCACTGTGTCCAGAGTATGGTGCAGTTAGCACATTTCTCTCCCTATCAAAACTTTAAAGATCAATTGTTATGGCTCGACAGTATTTCACTGAAGCTAAGCTTGGATCTACAATCCTTGGTATTTTGCTCTGTAAGAAGGGCTGCAACAAATGAATATTTAGAAAATCAATGAATCTGTTTATTATTTTTTTGGGTATTAATTAGACGGCTAAAACACTCTATCCGGAAGACTTAAGGAGTTCTGGATGGAAAATAATAATGGACAAAGCATTGTTTTTCATCATGAAAGTAAAATGTTTGGTTATTTTTAAAAGTTTTTGATGTCAGATTGGAGAAATTTACCTCTGCACCCCAAGGGGATGGATTAAATGGGAGAATTTGTTGTTTTCTTAGCTAATGGCATGTTTAAGAGTCGATATTAATCCTGATAACAATAAATCCATTACTAAATTAGTTGATGTTTATTTCATTCATCGCGATTCTTCTTTTTTTCAGCCTTTTTATTGTCATTACATTGTCACATGTACAAAGCAAGGAAATTCATTCTCTGCATTTAACCATCCCGTTGGTAGCAGTGGGGGATGCCGTTGTGTGGTGCCCGGGGGAGCAGTGTGGGGTTAAGGGTCTTGCTCAGGGACCCAGAGTGGCAGTCTGTAGGAGATGGGATTGAACTCAGAACCTCTGAATTTCAAGCACAATGCCCTAATTACTAGGCCTGATTAACAATTTAAGACCTTTGGAATCCAACCCTATGGTAAATACTTTCACAACCTTCCCACTGACCTGTCTAGATATTCCTAAGAGGTTGCTGACATTTGCTTTTTAATATTTAAAGAACTTTATTAAAGACTACTCTTCAAAAGTCAAAAGTGTCTTCAGTCAAAGGCTTCTCTAGATACAGGGCAAGAAAAACCCTTTACAACAAATAGTTGAAGAAAAACCCAGTTAATTTAATTTCCCTCTCAGGTCAATAAAGTATCTTTGAATGTAATTTAATTTAAATAAAGATTGAAAGGTTGATTAGATTTGGGTTTAGATTCCTCTCTTGTCTCCGCTTGACCCCCTCCCTGCTGTTCTCCTGTCCAGAGCCTCGGCCCGCTCTGCTAGCCAGAACCTACTCAGGCTGTGTCCAAACCTCTAGTGGATGAAAAAGTAGTGGACTCGAAATTTCCTAAAATGCACCTTGATAAGTAGTTATCATCCATGGTCATGCTCTCCTCGCAAAGCATCATGGGATTTGTATTCACCTCGGCTTGCTGTCACTACCCGATAGTGGTGACTAATAACAAAGATGGCGCAGCCAGGCATCAGGCAGAGGAAGATAAGTTACGTGACCAATGGAGCAAAAAGCAGTGATTATCTATCTAAACGGTCAGTTAACTGAGTTCACTATAAAGTCCACTATATAATAATGCTCTATATAGACCGGGTTCCTTCTGTATTCGGCCATTATGTCAAGTAGAAGATGTGCTTGTATGGCTGCTTTTGGTAGGGGGCTGACAGGGGTCAGGGCCCCTGTAGAACCAGTCCCTGTTATGGCCTCTGTACCGAAGATAAGATACTAAACCAGTTTTTAAAGATAAAAATCCTGGCCCAGAAACCATAACTGAAATCTTTTACTATTTTACCTTAACAGTGATTAAAAGATTTAGGTGCTGCACTTTTAGCTTCGCCTGTTTTGAAACTGAATCACTGTTTTCTGCTTCCAGATTAGGGGTTTGAAACCAGCAGCTCCAGAACCACATGTAACTCTAACACTATAACACTAGAATTATTAACACAATTTTACAGATTATTCATAATTTTAGATTTTATCTTTAAAACCATATCATGTATCTTTTTATTTCCACTTTACAATCATTTGCTACATGTATAATCTCATTAAAAGACATCAAAGTTTGTGTTTGGGCCAGAAAGCTTGTGTGAGGCGCTATAACTGCTGCTTCTATTCCGGGAGCTCCTCAGTGACAGCAGGGTTTAGACGTCTAACAGACACACAAACTTAGTGATACAGACTCAGTTATAAAGAAGACAGAAAGTATGAGAACCCCCCTCCATCAGTTTTGGGAGGGATTGTACACTACTTTAACACTTATCCTAAATAAGTCATTTTGCTCTGATGACTCCTGCCCCCCTGTATCAATCAGGATAATCCAGCATTGGCCGGAATTCCATTTTGACATTAAGCTGGGAGAATCTCAGCATGTGTCCACGGCTCCATCTGCGAACTACATTTAGAAAGTCAGACAGCATACATCTGTGTCTGTACAGCATTATAGAGAAGCTCTGATAGAAAAGCGGATTACATGGGATATCTACAATGATGTGATACCTGGCTGTTACCAAACATGGCTCAACAATCTGCAAAACAGACCCAATGTCTGTCGGATATTTCTGTTTTTTTGGACTGAAGAAGTGGCAGAGAGCTGATGTGCATCTCACTCCAGGCCAGATGTAATTGGGAATGCTTCGACATTTCAGTACTTTTTGACAGGAGCTGAATCGGCAGCTCTTTCTGTGTCCAGAAAGTTTCTGGAAGCGAGCAATCCCTTTGTCTGGCTCAAAATAAACCGCCTCTAATAAAACCCACATGTCCTCTTATTTCCACTGGTTTTGGGATCAAATTAATTACACGGAAATGTCTCTTCTGGGGCTGGAAAAAGAAGCCGGATGAGTGTTTGATATCATTGGGGAGCTCTTGTGGTGATGCCTAATTGTCAGTGAGTGGGATGCTGATTTTGTGGCCTTTAAATATAACATCAGATGAGTCTCTGGGAAGATGGGTTTTCTGTTTTAAAGCTCTCTGGGTTTTGAATCTGAAACAATTATTCAAATATATAGCGTTCACCTTCTACTGATGGTCATTTAGGAATAAAAAGCCTCAGTTTTTCTATATTGTGCAGAAAAAAGAGTTTAAAGACTCACTGACTCTTTTTTGTCAGTTTTATGTCCTCAGTTTTAACCCTTTTAGCCGATTCTTCAACTACAGAACAGGGAAAATACAGTCCTATTTATTAAACTGGATCATTATTAAAAAGTTTTGTTTTTTTCAATTTAGCCACGTAATTAATTTAAACACATTATTCAGATTTATTTCTTTTCATTTTAAGCTTCTATTTATGTTTTTTTATCATGACTTTTTTGGGTTAATTAATTTTTGTATCAAATTGAAGAAAAAAGTGATCTAAAAGGGGAAAATAACCATAAAAGTGAAACAAATAAATTTGAGCGAACACATTTTCACACTGATAGCAAAAATTCATGTTATTTGACATTAAAAAAATTTTTTTGAGAGAAAATATTTTGTCATTGAGTCTGAACAGAATCGGTGATATTAGATGCGTTGGAGATGAGCAGCGCTTCGCCTGGGATGTGGACGAGAGCTTACGGCTGTGGTGATGGGCGGGGTCAAAAGTCTGTTGTGAAGCTGGACAGAGCTGTCTGCAACTGAAGGAGATGGCTGGCTTTGGGTCTGTGTTATGGAACCTACTGGTGGAAAATACACAATAACACTCTTAGAAACACAATACAGTCATTAGCTCCCATCCAGGTTCCAGACAAAGCGCTGCTCATCTAGAACACAATTAAAATCACCAATCAGCTGTCAGTTCTTTTAAAACTGGCCAATTGGAATACAGGACTGCTGTTTTACACATCAAAGAAAAATCCTGAATTGAGAGCAAATATTTGTCTTTAGAGAGAAAAAAAAAATTTTGAGAGAGAAATCTACTTTTGAGAGAATTTTTTTTTCACTCTGATTGCAAAAAAAAAACAATATTTGAGAGTAAAAGTATATTTCTGAAAGAGAAATTATTTTCCAAATGTCAATTTGTTTTTATCTATATAATGACAAACTGTTTTCATTCAAAATCTTTTTCTTCATTCTCAACATCAGCTTTTGCTACGAGTGTGAAAATGTACAAACTCCATTGAATATTAGTGTATATACAATTTATAGTTTTGCAAAAACATAATAAAAGTAAGAGATCCACTACTGTTAATATCTTCAAACTGACTTGTAAAAAAAAATCTAAAATCAGAAGAATCATATGTTATTAGGGTTTTACTGGCAGCGGTAACCTAGACCCATTAGGAACATTTGGAAAAAGTGTTTGGTAGGGTAAGTGTTTTTAAAAAATGACTTGGCAAGCCTGTTTACAAAATTTCATTTCCGATATTGCCAGCTGAAAAATGACCAAGAATAAGCCTTCAAAGTTCTTCTTTGATGCCTTTTCAAACTCCAGGGTATGTATTCACAAGGAATCCCCTCAGGCTGCGACTATCTTAGCCTAAAAATACCTGCAAAGCATTCTTAGCTGAGGAGTGATTCAGATAGCTGCTAAGAGCATCTCTAAGCAAGGAGCCAGTAGCAATGTTTATCTTTGTAAAGGTGATGTGGTTTTGTCCATTTACCAGGTGTGATGATGTCTTCTAAGAGCCTTCATTGGTTGATATGAGAAACAAAACAACTGAAATATAAATGCACCCATGGAGATAAATAAACCAATTATTGAGATAAGAAATACCTTTTTTAATTCCCCTAATTTTAGCTTTCTGATTGTTATGTTATCCCAACATAAATGATAGTTTCACGACTTCATCTTTTTGATATCAACATAGACACCAACTGTCACTATTTTATTGTGATGGCCTGCTTGTATAAAGCAGTTCTATTTTGCAAAATGGCCAACATAAAATCTCTCCCTTTTACATCTTCCTTCTATGCACACTATATTGGGGGTATACAGGTGCGTCGTGAACCTGTCCAACTGCTAAACTGAATCTCTCTCTGTATAAGGAGGATAAAGTTGATCTTATCTCCATATATTTAATTGAATGATAGTTAAAGAAGTTTTTAATTTATGTCATTATTCAAGCTGAGCATCTGCCAAACAGCTCTTGCTGTTACAGCCACCTTCTCTGCTTAAGACCCTCTTAGCCTAACTTAGAAGTTTGGTTACTACACAGCAGAATAAAAAAAAAACTGAAGAAACTATGTTTGGAAAGAGCGTTCAAAAGTCAGCACACCGCCAGTTAATCCTGGACCTTTAGAGTAAAGTGATCGGACAGCTGCAGCTGATCCAGAATGCTGCTGCCTACGTCCTCACTGAAACTAAGAAAGTGGAGCACATCACCTAAGTTTTTATGTCCTTCCACTGACTTCTCATATCTCAGAGAATAGACTTTAAAATACTTCTGTTAGTCTATAAATCATAGAATGCTTAGCCCCTAAAGAGGCTACATTAAAGACTTGCTGTGGATCACCCTCTCGGACCTCTCAGGTCTTTCAGAAGAGCTGAGAGGACAAAATCCATTCTGCATATCTAGACCCAGACATAAAGAAGCAGCTTTAGTTCTTATGCTCAATTATTCTGGAAAGAAAACTATAAAAGCAGTGGAACCCTAAAGTTGCTTTAAATTTGGATTGAAAACCTATTTGTTTAGTTTGGCCTTAGGTTGGGCTATAAAAACACTTCTAGTTAGGCTGTCAGTCCAACTTTCCTTTAATTTTTTATCAGCTCTATTATCATTAATTTCTATATACATTTTATTTTAATTATTCACTTTAGCTCTTTATAATTATTCCTGCTACCTTTGTGCAATTGCAATATACTTTTATTTTTCTTATGTACAGAACTTTGAATCGTCTTGCCTCATTAAGAGCTACTTTAAGCTTTACAGTTATTCATATGGCCAAAATCTCATAACAGTATCTATTTACCATCTTTATTTGTCAGTTAACTGCAGCTCAGCCTCCACCACCAGCAAAAGTGTTCATACGTATTGATCTCTGTCCAAGTCTGTCACACCAAACCCATTCCCTCTAATATATTGCACGCTATTTAAAATCCTCCCTTTGACATTTAAAACATTCAAATCTGAACTCCAATGCTTTGGTCTGAATTCCTTTTAATTGTTGCTCATCATGTCCTTCTTTTTCCACAGTCCTCAGGAGCATCTGAGATTCACTTGTTTTGGTGGTACCTATTTGAATGCAATTGATCAACATATTCTCATTACCGTACGAAAAGTTATGCACACTATTTCGTACGTTTTTGGACGTTTTTCCTCAAAAAAAACCACATCAGTGCGCATGCGCTGGCAGACAGAAAAAAAAAGCAGATCCGCGGACGGACATACAAATGGGAAAAACAATGCAATCATCACTTATTCATGTCTCTAACTACTTTTCGTACAATTTCACACTCACTCATAATGAGAATAGGTTGGATTGATGCACCTACCTTCCCCCCGGTTCACAGACCGTTCCAATGCAACCCATGCAGATATTGTTGTAGTTTAACAGCACACACTCAGTTAGCTTGAGGTGCAGAAACTGGAGCACGGTGTAATTAATTATTTCATTTAATACATCTAACAATTGAACTTGAATTTTTTACAGGGTTGAGGTTGGAAATACCTGGGAGAAATAGAAATATGTGAAGGTCCGTGACCCTGTTTAGAAGTTCTGCAGCAAATAATGATTATTGTTAAATAACAAAAAAAAAGAAAGGGAATAAAGAAAACTGAACTTTAAGTGACAAAAAAAAGCTTTTTTCACCTCATAGAGACTCTGAGTGCAAAAAAAATAAAATATCTGAGGGATAAAAAAGTGGAACTTGATAGTGGAATCAAAAATAGTGCAGTGAAGAGTGGAAAGAAATAAAGATAAGAGTCTAAAGGAAAAGTCCACACTCAAAACTATACCATACTGAGGTTTGGAAAGGTATGAGGTGGAAAGAAGTAAACATTGATTTCTCCATTTCAGATCGAATCCAAACAATCTGATGGTTTACCAGTAATCCAGCTGTTCACAGAGGTAAACAATTTTTGGTCACATTGTTTTTTGGGGCATTTTATCTTGTATTTAAGGAACAGAACATTAACAATTAGGGTAATGGAAATATAGCTCTTAGCTGCACATGTCTGCCAAGTTCAGCTTGTTAGCCATGAAAAGCTACGCTACTAAAGAAAATAATCTTTTGGAGTTTAGGGAAGATTTCAAAGCAAAACCTAAAATTCACCCATGATCTATATCAGAGATAACAGAATCTTTGGAAACTGTTAGTCACACTAACTATAAAAAACATGTGCGTTCAGAATCGACTCCATTATGACTCCAAGCATAAGCAGTTTACGACCGGGTTGATGAGAAATAGAAATAGCTGTAGAAACCTCAGCGACATTACCTCACCAGTAGTCAATAACTGTATCAGAGGTCATAATTGTAAATTATCCTGAAATTTCATCCAGAAATTTGTGCTTATGTTTCATCAACTCATTAAAAGTCTGAATTTTGGTAAAACTCCACCTGATTATTGAATATTGTTTTTTTTTCTTTCAGAGTTTAAAAAGAGGTCTGAAATTTGAAACAACTGTGAAAAAGTTTAGCATACGTAGGTTAAAAACCGACAGGAAGTTCTCTTGCGTGTCTTTACTCCCTTCTCTGTGAATAATTATTACTTCTGCAGTATTATAAGCTGAGAGTAATTTATCCCTCTGATCCTCTCAAAGTGTTTACGTGAGATCGGCCCACTCTGCCCCTCCGGAGAAGAAAGATCCCTATCTGGCTCTAGCTGAGCTCCACATCTGGCCTCGTGCCAGAGGTCCATCAAATTTACACACAGAGACAAAAACAGGCAGGAATCAAGGAAAGGCAGTCTGCTTCTCACGTCACACTGGAAGGGTTTCTCTCCCGTGTGCGTCCTCATGTGCTCGTCCAGTCCTCGTTTCTGGCTGAAGGCCTTGTTGCACTCGCTGCATTTGTACGGCTTCTCCTGCAGAGACACACATGTAAAGAGGGCATATTTTATGGCAAAGCGTGGGCAGTTTTCATTGCATATGGACAAAACCTGGGGAATAGAAAACAAACACGTAATGACACGCACATGTTGGAAAATACACGTGGAGAAAAACTAACGGGCATGCAGGAAAGATGTGGAAGTATCCCAGGTTTACTTTCACGCTCTCCACTGTGTTCTGGTGACGATATGAGAAGAAAGGCTGAGAAGCTTCTGCAGCAGGGAGGAAATGGCCAACACGGGGGCCATCAAAAACACATGCATTCCTAAAAAGAGTAAAGAAAACAAGGAGCAGAAAATCCCTTTGAACATGAATCAGTGCGCTGGCACTGTAGGGCTGTAGCATATCAATCCTCTGTCTCCACACCTCATCAGTTTACCAAAGAACATTTCCTCTGCCGCTTTCGGAGGCCCTTCTTAGTCAGCCAAAGCGGCTATCTTGCTGTGGGTGCGTCGTCACAAGCATGCATGTGTGAGTGTGTGTGAGTGTGTGTACAGTATGTGTGATGAGGAGGGCGGATGGTAGGCGTGTGCGGCTCGTTCTGAGGGGAAACAGTGCTGACACTTTAAAGACTTTAAAGAAGAAATGAGAAAGAGATAGCGAGCAGTCGGTTCCCACTGCCGCAGCTTTTGGGAAGCTGCTTTTGACAAGTCTGGCTGATAGCAGAGGCTCTACCCATTTTAGGCTTAGTTGTCTTGGGAACGGGGTGAATGCAGGAAGCAAGGGTCCTGGGAAAGGCGCTATCATGTGGGCCGGGCAAGGAGTGCCCAGTGACACAGGAGACAAAAGGAGGTAAAGATCAGGTTCACTGCATGTGTGCCTGTGAGCAGCTTTAAGGATGCGACTGTTTGGCCGCATGTGACAGAGTGAAGGGGAACAATGGAAATAAAGCCCCCTGTGTGTGAGAGAAAAGCCCACCCCAAGGAAACAGATTCTGTTCTGATCAGTTTCATGCAGATTCCCACAAAAATCCCCAGCTTTGACCACAATCATGTTCTCCTCCATAAAAACAAAACTTTCAAAAGTTCAAGGAACATATGAATGAAGTAAGACCCACAATGCACCAGTGTGACCCTGGTAACATCAAACATCTGTACCTGGTGACCTTCAGCCTTTGGCAGCTGTTCCGCCTCTGACCCCTGACCCGACCTCTCCTCTGAATCCGACCAGTTTCTACAAAGAGCCCATCCAGAGATGTGGGGATGGAGTCTTGTTTGTTCAGTCCAAAGCAGGAGATCTTCTCATATGACACATTAAATATGCAGGTATTTGTAACGCAGCATGCGAGCAGGAAGCTGCTCTGCACCACCAACCTTCAGGTCAGTAAGCAACCAACAACCACGCTCACACTGAGGGATTTTTTTAGGCAAGCTGGCAGAATGGCTTAAGGCGGTGTCAGCCTGTCAGGGACCCTGCAGGATTGATCACCATGTTATTGTAGGAGAAAGGCTGCTTGGTCGGAGTGATCTATGGGATTTTTTTTCTCCTGGTAGCACAGTGGAAAGAAAAGAAAAAACTATATCACCAAGATAAAAATCAAACAATGACTAATTAAACTGATTTGGGGAAAAATAATTTTTGAATGGAATATTTTCTCATTCCACATTCGCGCATAGAGACTTACGATTTTTATGGAAAACAAGCACGGAATCCAGCCCCAATATTCGCAACATGTTGCTTTAAATCCAGGAATGTGAGAGAGCGCTTTGCAGAGGAAAAGATGCAGATGAAAAAACTTGTTTACAGTTAATTGGGAATGACGCAATCAAGAAGCACGTAAGAATTTTAAACGAGGTGCATGAATGAAAAATGCAAATGGTGAAAAAAAAAAAAACCTATGAGTTACTGCAACATTTAGTTTCCCTTCAAGGTTTAATAAAGTATCTTTTAATTGAATTTGAGCTGCGGATTGTTAGCATTGCACAACATATGCAATAAGATTCACAGGGTTTAGAGCACAACAGAGCTTTTTGGTTGTTCATACCAAAAGATTAGAAAAAGATTAGTCAAAAAACATGGTTTCTTTTCTTTGTAGATAGTTATGTATATTAAAAAAAATACTTCCATAATAACAATTGTAAGATGAATTCTTGCGACGTTTCTGTATTTACAAACACAATCCATCTTGTCCCACAAATGCTTAAACTGTTCAAGAAACGTCCCAGCACGAGCTGGCTAGTACCATAGCACTATCATGGTACACAACGGATTATACAGCCACGAAAGAACCAAAACAAACATGGCAGCACAGGAGGAGACAGGTGTAGCTGCTACCATTACATCTGTTTGTCAGAATCCACAATTTCCTCTTCAAAAGAAGACCAGCCAGAGTAATACAACCAAAATTAACTAGGACTTCTTTGGCATCTCTTACTTAAGATACTGTAATTTTTACTGTGATTTGCTGAAATCAAAAACTCCCAGGGGGGTCCTAGGGGACAAATATTAAGAGGTATTTGAAGCAATAAAGCTTTAGGTGTCATGGTCTTGCCACTGATGACTTGCTTAATGGTTAATTTTATTCACCTGCTTAGCCCCGCCCAGTTTCTTATTACTCTTCACCTTATACACCTGCTCCTGCCTCTGTTTAAGCTGCTTGCCACCAGTCATCAGTGGCAGATCATCCAAGCCTTTGGTGAGAGTTGTCTAGAGTACCATGTTTGTTGTTCTGATTGCCTAATCCTGACTAGTTCTGCCCTTTGGACCTCTGAACCTGCTTGTTTATGTTCTGATCTGTTTGCCTGACCTGTCTTCGGACTCCTGCTGGATTCTGCCTGCTTACGACCCTGAATCTATCTCCTGACCCAGATTTGGATTTCCCTTCGGGACCTCTTCAATTTCTGATCTTCTGGCCTGGACTCCTGTGAACCTCTTCCACATCGACTTTGGCTTCACCTTCTGGGAACTCCTGCCTTCCTTCATCTGCTTGCTTCTGCTCGTCAGCCAGTTCAGCAGCCTTCTTGGCTTTGGCTCCTGGAACTCGCTGGGCGACGTTCACCGTGTGCATTCCACTTCTTCTTCTGGGCACGGACTGAGCTTTAAAACAAGGTTAGTGACTCACACCCTCGTAATCTTCCTCTGTCGGATTTACTTGGTCACTAAAGTGAGTTTACCCCTCTGCAGAGATTCCAGCCAGCGAAAGGCCTTTGTGAGTCACATCTGTCTACCTGCTTGAAATTCTGGGTCCACAGTTCTAAGTCCTGACAATAAGAAAATATTTCCAACAGAGACCTATGGAACTGTTCCCTCAGGCTGCCTCCACAAGGAGCTGGACTTTAACAGGAAAAAGGAAGCTAAGGGACAGTTAATAGGAAGAACTGTGAAAGTAATCAATAAACAAATGAATCACATAATAAATTTATGTGAGCTCACTTAATTACATTTGCATTCTTGTTCGTTATTGTTTACTGTCCTGATTTCCAAAATTGATTCAATTTGAATGACAATAATGTTGTTTATCATAATGGTTTGTGGGACAATTTATTAACAACAAAAATGGAGGATTTCCCAATCTATCACTTGACAGTAATTCTGACCCTTATATCAACTTTTTAGCTAGACAGAAATTGTACACTGTGGTTCACATTACATTAAGAGATGCCTTTAAAAACTCTGTAAGCTTGCACTGATTTTATTTATACCGTTTAATGTTTAGTTTATTTATAAAATGCAAAGGTGAGCTTGTTTTTATTGATGATTAAAGATAAATAAATATTTAGTCAGAGTTTAAAAAAGGTCAGAATCCATCCATAAAAAAATTGATCAGCATTTAAAGAATATTAAAAAAGCAACTTTAATATGATTCCATTTAAAATGTTGTTTATAGTTGTTTAACTCCACAAACTATCAAAAATCTCAATTCTAAAACAACTTTTTAAAACTCATAACATCTGATTAGAGAACATCCATTCAACTTTAAAAGTTTAAACAATAAAAAACTACCAGAGGCCAGATATCTGCATCAGGCATGTTCCATTGCAGTTTTCCAGGGATGTGGTTTGCTGAATGAAACACAAGAAACCCCAACTTCATCCATCTGAAATCACATGTTCATTAACGGTGGGCTGCAGCTCCCTCAGCCAAATGACATTAGTTTTTCTCAACATGCAGTGACTTCATCCGGCTCTGCTGTTTGTAACTGTTCAGCCCATATTTCAGAGCAACGTGAGCAAAGACAGATCTGGGAATATTCAGGGCAAAAACATCGGTCAGTTTAATCAGCAGCACACTACAAAATTACATCTGCCTGTTTCTACGGAGTCAGCCCGACCTGAGCGGGATATCTCCACTGCTGACACACTGCGACGCGCAGAGCAAAGTACTTTACTCTGGACAGCATTAAAAGAAGAACAAATCGCTTCAATGAACTGTCCTGACAGGCTGCAAATATCAGCGTCAAGTTGACGATGGAAAATGTTCACAAAACTCAATGTATTAAATGTTTTTTGTTGTTAATGACACTATGTAAGTGCTTTTCAAACTCCAAACGATTATTCTGGTAAAAAAGTAGGGTAACTATGGCTAAGTTTTATCTGTTTTAGGGTGACTCTTTCTACTCTTTGTGCTCAGATGTCCACAGACAGGTCTCAGTGTAAGAAGACCTCCACAGTGAGCAGCTAAAACATTTGAAGTTTAAAATGTTCAAATAGCTAAGCTCAAAGTAAGAATATAATCAAACCATCACCTTAAACAGTTCTGTCATTTGTTTTGAACTAAATTATCAATAAGCACAACTATATATGGGAAGTCAGACATCTTTAAAAGGCTGACCCAAGACAGAACATCATATTGAAACTTTAGTGATGAAAAATGGAGAGAAAAAGCTGCAGCTTCCGGAACATCATTGGTCAGTGAGTACAAAGCAACGCTGACAACATGGAGTTTTATTCAGATGTGTAAATTTTCCTGTAAAGAAAGTCTCACCATTTGTATTGCTTTATTTCAGTGTATGGAAGTTTAAATCTTTAGGCCAAGGAATATGTTGCAAATAAATAATTAAGCAAAGTTAAGATTTTTAACCCTTCATGTCCAAGTTACAATTTTTGGTAATTATAAACACCAATTTAATCTAAATCAGGTCAAATGTGGTCTGTAAGGTCCACCTATGTCTCAAACCTGAGTGCAACCATATTATAGAATAACACCAGTTGTCCAACGGTGCTCAGGATGTGTCATTATTGCCATTTGTATCTCTGCTTCTGTCTCCTTGAACCCCAGTCGGCCTCAGCAGATGGCCGCTCACACTGAGCCTGGTTCTGCTGGAGGTTTCTTACTGTAAAGGGCAAGTTTTTCCTCTCCACTGTCACAACAAGCATGCTTAGTGTGAGGGATTGCCTTCAAGTCAATGAGTCGATGCAATCAACTGGTTATCCTTATACAGAAAACTTTGAATCCATCTGACTGTATGATCTGGTGAACTGTGAAGTGCCTTGAGATGACATGTTGTGAATTGGCGCTATATATATATATATATATATAAATAAACTGTATTGAATTGATATGTTGCCTACTGTAAACTAAGTTATAAAATGTTAACAAGTTCAACGTTTAATAGAATGTGTAAAAAAGTTTAAAAAAAAGTTATTTCAAAAGTTAATAAGGTCCTGAGCATTAAGTTTTAATAAATCAATGTTTCTTACACCATGTAAGTATTTTTAATGAATTTTATTAAGCACTCTCATCATATTAGGTCAAGTGATTGTTTTGGTAATAGGCTCTATGCACAACTCCACCATTTTCTGAACTTCAGGAGGCTCCTTTGTTTCCTGTCTTTCATGATTGGATGCACTGATTAATCCAAGTGTGTATGACCTAAGTAACTGGCCAGACACACCTGGATCAATCAGTTCGTCCAGTAATGAAAGACAGGAAACAAAGGAGCTACCTTAAATTCAGGAAGTAGTGGAGCTGTGCATAAAGCCCATTACACCAACCTTGATCTCTGCCATGAATATACTTTCTCTTTAATGTTGCAAAAGTAAAAAGGTTTCATATCATCCAATAACACCCTTTGAAATTTCCCTTATAAAGCGCCCCTCACATCCATGAGTTCAACTCTTCTTTCCAACAAAATAATTAGTTTGAAACATTAAATTTTAGATAATTCATCTAACATCTAAACTGGAACTTGTACAAGGGGTTCTGTATCTACCCGGTTGTTACTGTTCTTATGTCGCAGGCAACACCGTCACTAAGCTTTTTAATAAATATTTGTTTGTTGTGCACCCTTGCTATCAGTCAACTGAATATAAATCAATTCAACAATTGTACCAAATGTGACTAAATCTCTTTGCTATCAGTAGTGTTGAGCGATTGACTATGATACAAAGGAGACAGGGGGGTTAGTATAAGTGGTGAGAAAAGACGTACCCGAGTATGGGTCCGAATGTGCATCTTCAGGCCATCGTTCTTGCTGAATGCTTTGTCGCAGTAGGGACACTGGTATGGTCGCTCACCTAAAATGTGAAAATCATGTTGGTGAATATTACATATATAAAATGCACACAAAAAAAATATGGTAAACACATTTATAGTTTATAGAGTAAATATAAAAATCTACTTCAGACCATGCAGAAGTAAATATGAAAAAACATCTGCAATCATTTAAATCACACAATAAAGCATAACTCCTGTTATAACTGTGTGTCTTCTATTAAAAAGTGTTGCTAAAAAGCTTAAAAATGAATGTGACCAAGCTGCCTTTGTGGATCATTCTCTTCGAGCCGCTGTTTGAGAACTATTCAAGTTTCCACTGTGGATTTCAAGCTTGTGCTGGTTACACTCTGTGGGTTGCTATCTGAGCTCCAACTGGCCAGCAGTTTTGGAGTGATCTGGCTTCTCCTGGCTGGATCAAAAACACTCTGGTCTAAGCCTTATAGATCCTATCTGAGCACACACTGCAGATGACAAAGAGAAAGTGACAGGCTGTCAGTCAAACTCTCCACTGACACATGGATTAGTTTACTATGTGCTGATCCACTGGCCTGATAAGAGTCCCAAGAGCTGATTGCTGATCTATAGAAGAGAGCGGAGGTAATAACCCACAGAACTGTGCAGAAATTAAAGCAACACAAAGCTGACCCCTAAAGAAATAACCTAATCATTTAGGGGGAAAAAAAATGTTGTTTCAATCTTTCCGAACCGATGATCAAATAAGTTCCCCAGTCGAAAGGATAATAAATTAGACAGCCCCCATCTGCAGAAATGGCTGTTCTGGTTAGAGGTTTATTGAATTGGTGATAATATGATATCAATCTGAGTGTTTTTAGGAAACAGTTTAAAAATTCCTTTTCTAGACTGGAGTGGTTATAAACGTACTGAACTAATCTAGAGCATGCTATTTTAAAATCAAGAAATACCTACGTTTGAAGAGTCTCCTTTCTAAAAAGATTTAGATTAATGATCCTTTAGTCACAGAGCTACACTTTGCACAAAGTTTTTTTTATTTTTTTTAACCATCTTCTGATTTTGGATGCAGCTGAATTAATTACCAATAGCATTTTCATTCCCAACAAAACCAGTAGCAACAAGGTTTTATTAATTTGCTTTTATGATTCTATGTGCTTATGTTTAAAATTCCATTGCATTTAGAGCAATGTGGAATCAAAGTTTAATTCGTTGTTTGTTTGCATAAATGTGAGCAATAAAGCTAATTCTGATGTTTAGAGGAGTGATGGCGAGGCTCTGAAACAACAGAAAAACTGTATCAACTATCAAGTAAGGTGGTGGCAGCACTATTCTGTGGGTGTTTTTCAATTAGAGATGCACCAATCCAGTTTTTTTTTCTGATCCAATCTGTCAGCTAGGCCGATATCCAATACCGATCAGATTCAAGTTTTGAATGGATGTATCATATACATGTATCCTGCCATGTGAGTGAAGGCAGATACAAATTTACTTTATATTACTTAACAAATAAGCAGCAAAGAGAAATAAATAGCAGTTCCATGCAAAGTGTACAGGATTCGATCTCCAATTTCCAATCAATGATTCAGCTAATTAGCCAATATCGGAGACGATATACGATCCAGGTCTCGCATCAGTGCATCTCTAGTTTCAATAATAGTGGTTTGGTTTGAGAACACATTGGCTGGGATAACTGAGAATTATGAACATCAACATTATTCTTTTTTATTTCAAATCAAAAACTTGATGGATAAAGCATGGAGACCATTGAGAGTTCAACTGGAAAATGATCTAAACAAAGCTGGGGCATAAATGGATAAAGCAGGTAAGTGCTTCATTAATGGCATGACCTTGATGCTGCAGAAAACATATGGACGAGGCTTCTACACCAGGAGGACAACCAATTTAAATAAACTTTATCAAATCTGAAAAAAAGGTTAAAAAATGTGATTTTCTATAACTTTATTAAGGGTCTTAAGGGCATGAAAGATGAATATTATGTGATGTAAGATATGTGCAACGGCTTTTTTGTATATATTTTTTGTGTATTTTTAAATTGTGTGCATACGTCTGTGCCCCCCTCCTTCGCAAAAGTTCTCTATGCTGGAAACGCCTCCGCCGGTGTAGGTACCAGATCTGCTCGGGGCCCTGCCCTTTCTTATGATGTCCTCATATGGCAATACCACTTAGACAAACTGTATTGTATTTTTTAAGAATCAAATCTCTTCCAGTCTCAACATATAACCCATATTTGCAATAATTTTACATTTCATTGACAAAAAAGTCTCAGCTTAGTTTTATTCTGTTTTTAAGACCTCGGGGCATGGAAGGAGAAATGGAACATCCTAAAGATTGACTTTCATAGACATTTTAGACCAAGAAAACAACAGTTATTCTACTTGTAGAAATTGAACACTTGTCATTGACCTAAAGTTAAAAGTTATGTAGCCTAATATGGCCAACTGAACGGGCTACAACAGGCTAACCTGTTACCTACTGAACACAGCTAGCCACAGTCAGTCAATCATATAGCATACGTCACTGGCATGCATAGGACCTGAGCAGATCTGGTACCTACATTGGTAATTTTATTTCACCTAGAGAGGCAGCAAAGTGCCAGGATGCACCTAGTCTGCAGGAAATCTGCATAAGAAGAAGAGGTCTCTGCCTGCAATATCAGTGCAAGTTATATTTACACTTTGTTGGTGTGTTCTCGCTGCTGCTGCTACAACTAATTTTGGGATTTCAAATGGCGGACTATCTAAAAAAAGAAAATTCAACAATCTACTGGACTTTGCATCCAAGTTTGAAGACATTTCGCTTCCCATCCAGGAAGCTTTCTCAGTTCTAATGTCAGGAATAGCATTGAGTCTGAGGTTTTACACAGTAGCCCAACAAAGCCTGGTTTTTGTTTTGAAAACATGGAAATTTAAACGGACGCAGGGCTTCACCCCCTGAATTAGGGGTCGTTTGGCCTCTTTTGTTAGCCTGCAATGCCCCATACCCGTCTAGTTGTCTGAAAGGGGGATCGTTTCAGGACATTTTCGGCCTGCCGGAATAGGCAAGGCTCTCCTGTTTAGAGGCTGGGGCTGCGAAGATAGCAGCATTGTAGGTTTTTGAAAGCTGGGACCTGAGTCCAACCTCTCTGTTTAAGGTTGTTTTTTCTTTCTTAACATAGATGGCTTCCTTCACGCCCCTCTCAAATCACCTATTTTCTTTTTCCAAAATGTGAACATTCTGGTCCTCAAAAGAATGTCCTTTGTCCATAAGGTGTAGATGTGCCGCAGAATCTTGTCCAGAGCATGTTGCTCTTCTGTGTTGGGCCATGCGTTTGTGGAGAGGTTGTTTGTTTTCTCCAATGTAAAGATCAGAGCATTCCTTACTGTATTGAACTGCATACACCACTCCGCTCACATTTGGTCTGGGGTTTTTGTCCTTAGGATACACAAGTCTCTGTCTAAGGGTCTTGTTTGATGGCGGACTACTTCATGGTGAAGAAATAGCTAATAAACAAGCTATGTAACATTATTGCGGCACGTACGCAAGATGTTTGATTGATCTGAAAACTTAATTTTTGAAAAGAGATACTCTTTCATACCTTTAATGGACATTTTACCGGTAATAGGGACATATTTTTAGTCTTCATAAACACACATTTGAAAGTGTGCTTATTAGAGAAAAAGTCACAAATAAACTCAAAACATGTGCATTTAATGAAATCTTTTAAAAAAAACATATTAAATCAGATTTTAATGTAACCATGCCTTACAAAAACATAATAGCTTTAATGTTTAAAACAGATCAAGGTAGAGATGTTTTTTAGAACCATGATGAGTGTGCGTAAAGTCGTCCCAGACACCAATTTCATATCCATGAGAAAATTAACACACACATTTTCTTTGCCAGAAAAACAACAATCTATTGTTGTTTAATCCTTCCCTGCAACAATTTCATCTCACATCTGCTTTGCACAACTATAATCTGTCTTTAGCGACAAAATGTTGAGCAGCCAAGCAAGTTATTTTATTGATGTGGAAATGTGCTCCCCTTTTAAATAATAAGGTTAATTAGCTGTGTTTCTTTGGGATTCAAAATGCAAAGATGCTTATTAAATCAGCAAACCCATCATGGGATTACATATGTAATATAATAATACTCCACTGCTAAAAACATGGCTGTTTTTGTAGGATTTTTTCCCGTCTTTATTTCTTCTTATAAGGTCCAACACATAAAAACATAAAGGTCGATCCAACAGCACAGAAAATACTTCAGAGGCTGTTTCTTAAACTTTTATATCAAAGATCAGCTTGCAAAAAAAATCATGTTCAAGAGGTTTATCCTGGCACTTTTTATTTACATCCAACAAAGCCCGTCTGTCAACAGAAAAGTTACAACAGCTGTCATGTAGCAGATATACAAGTCGACTTCTAAACCCACCCACCGTAAATCCCCCACAAGAGGGCTTCAGAGGAGCACCGCAGTGACATGGGGTAATAAAACGTGCAACCTCAGGTTAGTGTGCTGAGGGTTAACGCTGACATATACGGTCTGATCACACGGAGCGAAACATGTGCACAAGGGCAGCTTGGAAATCTGTCCCGAATCCCTCTTCACCCCACAGCTCGGCACGTCCCCTAGCCTGCAGGAGGCTTTTTGTTGACAAACAGCAAAATCTGAATCCCAGATGTGCTTTTGAGAAAGAGGAGAGTAATTCTTGTGTTGTATGTAGCGTGCGCCAGTATCAGGTTATCCAGCGTTGGCCTCGGGAGTCCTGCTGAAGGCATTACTGCACTAATGGCGCAGTGGCTCCGTGTGATGGTGTACTCTGCGGCTTTGAGAACATCCCTTCCAGGGGCTGGTTATTGTCACTTAATACAGAGCCTGCAAACACAACTCTACACACCAGTTCACCTACTTAACCTATACACCCTCTGGTTCCGAACATGTGCGTCTCATCTGGGAAACGCAAGGAGAGAAAAGGATTGGATTTAATATTAAATAAGGAGGCCGTTCCCATATGGCCTGTTTATATAAACCACTCAAGACTACT